CGCACCAGCCGCTTCACTGCTTCACAGACAACACAAATCCTTTAGTGTCGCCTTCACAACCAGCCTAGGGGCAAAGTGATCAGTCGCGCTAGAACCGTAGGATGCCAAGATCGCCGCCGTCGGCGAATCTGGGGCGTTGAATTAATTAATTCGGCAAAAATCACGATAAATGATAGGCCGAATTCGAGCAGGAAGAAGGTCACTGTTCAGCGCCCCTCTTTGGAGGAGCTATTTTGAATTTGAAACTTATGGCGGCAGGCGCCCTGCGGCTGCAAACTAGCCGCCGATTTTTCAAACAGCGAAGCTTGACCATTGGATTTGCTGTGTCGCCGACTGTGGGCCGCCGATCTGGGTCGTGCATGGTGTTGCGTGGCTGTCCAACCTGTCAGAGGCTGGCAGGGTGCATGGCAGGGGTCAGGATCACCAACATCAGATTGATGTGGTCTTCCGGAACCGGAATTCACCTGCAAGCTGTGCGCTGCGCCATGCAATCTTGACGATACGACTGAGGTTTTCACCGGAGCTTTTGCCTAGATTCCAAGGGCTGTGGCTTCTAGGCAAGACCTGAGGTGAGCGAAACATGCAGACGATGCATGTTTATTTCAAGCATTGGAGCCTGGCAGAACACATGGTCCCATGCTTCCGTGCCATTGTCACATCAGTTTCTTGTGCATGAACAGAAGCTTCTGGATGTCCTGCCATACGTCAGTTTCCTTGTCGAGTCGGTTCTTTGATGAGTCAGAAAGATAGGGACGAAAAGGGTAGGTGCCTGAAGAACCACAGCAGAAAGATGCATTTCATCTAATCACAGTGAGGTAAGGGTAGGGTTGCAATACTTGTCCGCTCTTTTTGCCTGGTTTTGGCTTCTGTGCTTGCTGCTCCTGTGCTGGCTGCTTGCTCATGTTGCTCGGTGTGGATTGATAGGATGCTCGCTGTCGTTGCGTGAGCGCGGTGAAGGGTCTTCTGCTCTTTATTGATTCAGAAAGAAAATGGTGCCAGTCTTTCGACTGATATGCAGTCTGACTGCTCTTGGCAGTACTTTTGTCTCCAAACATATGCTTCAGGGTTTTGGTTGATGGTTTGAAAGAAAGCTAGAGGGGTCGGGGGTTGGCTGGTCAAGAAATCATGCAATGGCACTGTTTTTGTTTTGAGTTTTCTTTTGGGTGCTGGGCCAGCGACTCTCTCTCTCATCAACTTGCTAACTTTGTTTTGTGATCTGTGGGCGTCAGCAAGGCACGTTTCTCTCATTATCTTGCTAACCCTGTATTGCTTTTGCTTGCAGGTGTTCTTTTTGAAGTCTCTGTGTGAGCATGGCAGGCGGGTTGGAAAGGCGCAGGAGAAAGGAACCCAGCTTTGCTGATGACCATCAGCGGCGCCCCAAGAAAACTAAAGTTGAGCTTAAAGAGCTTGCTGACAAGCGTCTTGGTCTTGTTCTGAAAGAGCTGAGTGGGAGAGCCTTTGCCTTTTGCCCTGTGGACGGAAAGAAGCTTGCGGGGGCTTCAAGGAAGTGTCCCCAGTGTCAGGTCAAATACCTCAACTCCCATCTGACAGAAGCAGGTCCAAGCAAGTTTGCGTGTCTCTATGATGCTCGGGACATTGCTTCGTTCTGGAGAAGGAAGATCTTCTGGCGGTTGGGAGGCACCAACCATTCCGGCGTTCTCTGGAGCACACAGCCTTTTGTTCCTCTCCCAGCTTTCGAAGCCATCTTTTCAGAAGATTGGGAGCAGGCTGCTGTAAAGACAAGCACTGTAGAGACTCACGTCAGGATTTTGGAAACAACCAGGGGGGTTCTTGAGTTTTGTGCTTTTAATCTGGTCAATGAGAAAAGAGGCAATGGTTGCTGCAAGCTTCTCCCCACAGGGGAAGTTTTGGTGGTCGTTCCTCCCATTGAGGTCACCCATACGTATAGCAAAGCTTCGGGGGCAAGGGTCCATTTCGTCTATGGCTGGGTGAAGATGACTGTTGCTGGAGTCATCAGCAAGGCAGAAGACATGATAGAACCTGCGCAGGGGTGGGACTTTGTTGAAAAGTGGATCAGGGATAGTGTGCTCGAGTTGCAGGATCTGGAGATGGCAGTTTCACCAGAAATGGTTGAGGCTTCAGAGGCTATTCTCAAATCTGAATATGAAAGTGATCAAGCCGCTCGGGACGCGCGGTCTGAGCGAAGTATGAGAGACGAACACATTGTCATGCCCCGGCCAGAACCAAGGCCGCAGGAAGAGAGAAGACGCCAGCAAGCAGCTCAGATGCAGGCTGGGGGTGTGGAAGATGGTTGGCACGATCTGCCAAATGAAGAAGGTGAGCGTGCAGGGCTACGTTGCCTTGCATATGTCTTGTACAGCATCAAGCTAGCTATTGCATTGCCATTGTTTGCATCAAGCTAGCTATTGCATTGCCATTGTTTGCATCAAAGTGCTGTTCATGGAAGTCAAGAGTGCAACGTCCGTCAACATATTGCAACAACGTGATTGGCCCCCTTTTAGTGCACACCCCATAGAGTGCATGCATAACCTGAAGACGTCTGCGTGCGGACATACTCAGTACCGGTTTGTAGGGCGCATGCACTGTGAGTAGGAGTGTGCACGTAGGGGGCAGCACGTGACAACAAAGACAACAATGACGGACAGCACTCTCTACTTCAATCCAGAAGGTGGATTACAATGCCACCTTCTAATGTCAAACAATGTTTCCTGTCAACATGTTCAATCCTGATTGCTTCTTGATTGTCTTGATTGTCTACTTGTTGTCTAAGGCTATTTTTCTAACTCTAAATTGGCCTTGCAGAAGCGGAGATTCTCCCCGCGCGGCCTCTGCCCCTTCTTCCACCGCCAGCGCCCCCCCTTCCAGCGCCAGCGCCCCTTCCAGCGGCCCCCTTCCCGCGCCCCTGCCCTCGGCGCCCCTCCCCGTGCCCGTGCTCGTGCCCCTCCCCCTGCCCCTCTCTGCCACCCCTTCTGCGTCCCTCGCCCCCGCGCCCCCGCCTCTGCCCTCGCCCCCACCCTCGCCTCTCGCCGGCCCGTTGCTTTCCCCCACGCCAGCTGCGGCGGGTTCCTCCAACCCGGCCTCCTCTCCCTGGTGGGAGTCCCCGCCGAGGCCCTCCAATCCCCCCGGCGTCCGGTTCTCCGACTCGACCCTCAAGCGAGCGCTGCTCTGCTCCCCGGGAGACTCCTCCGAGTCGGCAAAGGCAAGTTTCTCCACGATTTCTACGTACCCGGTGTAGACCCGGGCAATATGATCCGGACCCAACTTCTCGAGTTTGCTCTCGAGCTGTGCTTTGCTCCGGCTTGGCAGCTGGCCCCTCCTCTCAGCTCTCTCGATCGCCTGCTCTGCAACCTTCTCTCCGTCCCCGATAAACCGCCTCTCATTTCTGCTGAGCGGCATTGCGACCGTTTGCTCTAGGGCTAGCCGTTCCCTGCCCTTCGCCATCACTTGCAAGTTGCGCCCCTTCTGCTGCCGTTCGTCTACCAACCGCTTGTTGGTAAACAGCTGCATATCTGTCTTCCCCTCTTTCAGCTTGTGCTCGACAAACTGCTGTGACATGTCGCTGAAGTTGATCGCGAAGCGGCGCACCATGTCAGGTACGTGCACCATCCCCAGATGCATGTAGAGGGTGGCGAGGTCCGCCCCTAGCTGCGAGCTGAAGCTGTGCACGTACGCCACCGCCCTGTCTTGGACCACGATGCTTTTGGCCTCCCGTTCGTCGTCGTCGCCAGGGTTGTGGAGGGGGCGGAGCACCTCAGCGTAGCTCTAGAGCCGCGAGGTTGTCCCAGATGATCCTTGCGTCATCCCGCTTGCTGGGCTCTGTGATGGCGATGTCCAGGAACGCGTTGTACGCGGTTGGATGCAGGAGCACGCGAGCTTCTCTGCAAGACATTAGTAATATGCTTGTTTGTTTCTTTTTGATTGCAGGTAAAAAAGTAGGACTAGGCGTAGAAAGATGATTAGATGGCAAGCACGGACCAGAAGGAGACAGCATGGAGCATGGAGTAGCAGGGAGCAGGAGCATGGAGCAGAAGGGGAGCAGCAAAGGAGGGAGGAGAAGACGCGCGGAGCACCGGAGCAAGGGAGCAGACGCAGACGCAGAATGCACACAGCACAAAAGTAAGGCCCACCCACCTTCCGATGAAGTTGATGTCAGTGGTATCTTTCTTCTTGTCCCCGCTCGCCGTTCTCTGCTCGAGTTTCTTGCATCCCAAGTGGAGGGCTTTGATGAGTGCGTTGACTGCGTCCGTTTTCTCTGGGGTGTTGAGGTTGACGGCGATGGTTTGGTGGAAAGTGATCGCCATGAGGCGCAGGAGGAGATGGAGGATGCAGATTGCGTAGGCGCTGATTGGGAATCGGAAGATTGGAGGGGTGCCGAACCTCATTCCCGCATGCGATTGCTGGAACTTCTTGGTTTCCCCCTTGGTTTGGGGGGGTTGGGACGCGTCCACTGCTTCCTGGTTGGGGAATTGCTCGTGGCAGTAGGGGCACTCAACGCCAGGGCCTGTGGTCCAGGGGCGGTGCGCAGCTGCAGCCATGCTCTCGGTGGTTCGGGGGGTGGCTGTGAGGGGAACTCTCCGTCCGTTAACCACGTGCGTCTTGCCGTAGTTGTCCTTGTGCTCCTCGCAGAAGCAACACCCGGTTAAACTTGACGCTCCGGAATGGCCAAGGAGCTCGCTCATCAGCACGTAGTCTGCGCCGAGGGTTTGGTTCACTGTGTAGTGGGTGTTTTCTACCTGGAGCCCCTCGGTGGTCATGGTTTGCATGGGCTCTAGGAATGGCTGCAAGTACTCCAAGTAGGTGGAGTACTTGTCTTTCCCCTCGAAGGTCAAGGCTACCCGCATATCTTTGGGAGAATGGGTGACGACCCGGTTGTTCCCGAGGAGCTTAAACCCCCATATGCTGTGAGAAGTTCCTCGAAGCCACCCCGCTGCATCGCCGCCCCAGTGCAGCCAGAGAAAGTCTCTGAGAAGCTCTCGATTGCTGCGCAGGTACCCCCTTTCCCGGTCGAGCCTCACAGCCTCGACGATCTGCTGCGGCAACTCGGTCCAGCAGGCGGTGCCATCCTCGTTCTGGATCAAAGGGATGATGGCATGGAGGGCTGCGCGGTGCGCGTTGACCTGGTTCTTGGATTTGAGGAGAGGCAGGTAAACCTTACTTCCTTTCCCCAAAATCTTCCTGCGAACCCACTGCTTCTCTACCGAGTTGTAGGTTTTGCTCAGAAGATTGATCAAAAACTGCCACTTTTCAGAGTGCCCGATCTTGCAATGGATCTGCGCAGCCAAACACTGATCTAAAGTCCAGGCGTCCTCGATAGCTTTAACAACAGCCTGTTGATAGGGTTGCAACCATTCAGGATGGGCAGAACAGCATCTCTGGAATGCAGCCTGATCGTTCAAAGCAGCATCTGTGATTAGTTCATAGTCAGACTGATGTCTTAGGTAGTGCTGGTAAAGGGCGGATTTGCGGGTTGCGGGGTTTGCAAACACCAATGTGAACAGAGATTCAATGGTGCCTGCCAACTTGACCTGTGTGGGTTTACTGTTACCGCCAACCAATTTTCTACGACCTACAAGCCCAGCAATCTGTATACCAGATGTGCCTTTGCGCTGCGCATAAGACAATTTGACTCTCAGGGATGAGACTTGTTTGGTCAGCTGCAAGATTTTCGTTTGCAGATTCTCTAGCTGCTCACTATGACCTGCTTTCAATGCTGCTATCACAGCCTGATTTTCAGCAATATAACTATCAAAACGTTGCTGAACAACTTCTGCTTCCCTTGCTCTGCGTACAGCAACTGGGCGTTGAGGTTGGATTTTGTTAGATGTAGAAGCGAATCTACCCCCTGGTTCGCGAAGTGCAGCTGAAGCTATTTCGGATTTCTTTCGTTTCAGGACGTCCCCCTTCTGCTGGACAGACAACTCGGCGGATCCGGAGCGTGGGCGCTTAGCACCAGCCCAGCTCAGATGCTCCATAGGCGCCAAGATCAGACATGGCTGGCTAGGGTTGCACAAAGCTTCTTTGAATGGCCGGACTCTAGATACACAGTCACATTACATTGTATCCAATGAATTATTTTCAAATCATTTATTGCACTCTTATATACATATTCATTTCATTGAATTTGGACTCACACTGAAGCACTCGCTGACTGCATGCAATGCATTACGCGCAATATGCATTTTGTGTCGCATACATATGCACATATTGAGAACACAATTTATTCTCCTTATACATGTATTCAATTTTCACTGGAGACCATGAGTCTACAATGGCTAGCTTGGAGACCATGAGTCTACAATAGCTAGCTAGCCTGATTCACCGAGCGTGACATGGTATGTGGTCGGTTTTAGAACATGAGCTTCATTCTACTTCCGGGCACAAATTTACTCGTGCCCGGGGAATTTCGCGATGTTCGGAATTCGGCTAAGTCAAATTTACGACTTTTTATGAGTGTGTCGAACTGTCGCAGTCTGGAATATATTCGATTTCGAAAATTATCGATTATCGAAGTACCCAGCGCGCGGAAGTACCCAGAGTCGGCCGAAATTTAATTTTGCCGCCGACGGAACTCGTATCTTTTACTTTCGGGCCGGGCCTAGGCTGGTTGTGTTCAGGTTGATCACGAGGAAGAGCAGGGCTATGCAAGGTCAAATGACGCTTACCCTTCTGGATCATCACGCACCTCTTGCCATCATGCCAGATGTGGTCATACCGATCC